AATTATGCCAGTGGGAAAGCTCTCTCCTGCCAGCAGAGAGTGGCTACACGAGACCTTATAGCAGCTCAGCTGCAGGGGTACAGCTGTGCTGTAGTGGAGACATAGTGGAGACATAGCCTAAGAGTTGTTTTCTTTCTCTCTCTCTCTCTTTTTTTGCTGGGTGGGGTGGGGGTTGGGCGGGGTATCCTTAGCTAGTGTGGTGGTGGTGGTGATGATGATACCTGCAAAAAACTTGACAATGATTGAGGTGAGAGCACTGCCATTCTTGCTGACCAATATTGCCTCATTGTTTCCTTGTACTCCAGTTTGTCTCCATCTGTTGTCACTTGTCTTCTACTTAGATTATAAACTCTTTGGAGCAGGGATGTTTTTTGTTCTGTGTTTGTACAGCACCTAGCACAATGTGGTCCTGGTCCATGACTACAATAATACAAACAATGTTATCTCTATACATGTTTGTTTGCTCTTTTGACTCCTGCTCTGTGGCTCAAAAATGTCTTTGGTAGTGAGTTCTATAGGCTAATTGTACATTGTGTAAAATAAACAAAAGTCCTTTTATCAGTTTTAAATGTATTGCCTTTCAGTTTATTTCAATTGAATGTCTCTTGGTTATTGTAATATGAGGGTAAATGGCAGTGCCCAAATGACATACTACAAACCATTCTTTGTTTTATATATCTCAATATTTCACCTTTTATTAATCTTGTATCTACATCAAATAGTGTTTTTTTTACATCCTCTCTTTATATGTGGAAGTCTTTCCATATGTCTGACCATTTTCATTGCCCTTCTATCATAGCCACCCATCACAATGGTTTCAGAGCACTTTCCACAGTTTAACTTATTAATTATTAATGGTTAATTATTATTATTTTATTTATTAGTAGTAGTATTGTGGTAGTGCCTGTGAGTCCCTGCTATGGATTAGGACCACGTAGTACTAGACGTTGTACGAGCACAGAACATGTTTAAAGATGTTTAATTCAACTGTCCATAATGATGTCTGCAGCTTCCCTTGAGGTAGTTAATTTGAAACCATCAACATGTGAACATAGTTCAAGTGATTCCTTCCAATGTGTTTTATCTAGCACTTGTCATTTGCCAGTGTGCTGACCAAGCACTCCTTTCTTAGGTCCCTCTGGAATTTCTCCCTGTTTTCTCTATTGTTCGTTAACCTAAATAACTTTGTCCTCCAGAAATGTTGCCACTTTGCTGTTGACCCCTTTTCTCAGATAATCAATTTATAGTGCAGCTTTACTATAGGTCTTTGGGACATCCTACCACTGACTTCTGTTCATACTGAAAATTTGTGCATTTATTCCTACTCCTTATTTTCTATCTTTTCATCAAGTCCTAATCCATGACAACACTTTACTTCTCATATCATGGCAACATATTTTCCTTAATACCCTCTAATTCTAATAGGTTGGAGAAGCATAGTTTTCTTTTATAGGAAATTCTATCTTTAATTATGGTTTTAACTAATATACCTGATGCTGAAGTTTTACTTCTCTGTAAATGCTAGGATCATTCTCCTCTTCCTCTAAGCATGAAGAAAGCACAACATTAGCCTTTCAGTTGCTGATATTAGTGACAGGTAAATCTTTGGATCCAATTATCTCTTGAAAAGTGCCATTTTAATAAGATTTTTTTAAATTGCCTGTCTCCTTCCTTTTTGTATGGGCGCAGATATGCCTGACTCTGATATAGGTATACATCCATACTGATAAGTAATACTGACCTACTGTCATTTCAAAGCAGAATAGATCGCAGTGGACCAGCGTACTGTAGTATGGTCCACACAGTTAATGTGCAGCATGCTAGCGCTGTAGATTTACACCCAGGGTACTGTTCATCTAAATAAAGCCCTAATTTTGATTATGCGCCTATTCTTATATATATTCTTTATCTGAAATCCTATTATCTAATTGGATGCTCTAGCCTCAACCCATCCTCCTTCTAGCAGAGCTGGAATTACTGACCTCTTCTTTCCTATTAGATACCTACTTTATCTTCTGTTATTGACATTTTCACCAGAAGACTCTGCCCAACTGGAGTGCAGCTCAGTATCTGTCAGCTTTCCTCTGATTAGAAGTTTAATTTTACCTGTCTTGATTTTCCTTGCCAGCAATCTCGTTCCACTTTAATTATCTCTTCCATATTAGCCTCTCCCTTCCCTAGTGCCTACAATGTGACCATCTCCTCTGTACACATAATCTCATTTGCACAATGAGATGCTGTAATTCCCCCTGCCTAGCACATGCAACCAGAGGCATGCGAGAGAGAGATATCATAGAGCTCTGGACTTAAGCCTTCCTAATAATCCAACTTTGACTTCCAGAACCAATCTTGTACACTTCCTTGTGTCATTTATACCAGTATATGACACTGCCACAGGCTCCTCCTCCTCCTAGAAGTTTGTCTAGATGTGTCAGGAAATCTGCACACCACTGTGTGCCTAGTAGGCAACTCTCCAAATGGTTCTCATTGTCTCCGCATACCCAGCTAACAATATTTGACAATAGAATCCTCTATGCTCATAGCAAAAAGAAAAGGAGTACCTGTGGCACCTTAGAGACTAACCAATTTATTTGAGCATGAGCTTTCGTGTTAGTCTCTAAGGTGCCACAAGTCCTCCTTTTCTTTTTGCGAATACAGACTAACACGGCTGCTACTCTGAATGCTCATAGCATGTCTCTTTGCCATGTTCCCCAGTCTGTGAGGGGTACCTACTCAGTCTCTTCTATCAGAAATAGAGATTTGACTGTCTATTGCACTTGCAGCCTTTTCCCTTGTGACACTAACTTTGTAAGCTGAAGGATTGTGGCTTCAGGTTCTTTCTGCCTGAAAGTGGCCTCTGCCTAGCAAGTTTGCTATGTTGCCATCCTGTCACAGGCTTAGATCTTCTGCACAGATACACAATCACCAAGTCTCACTCAGGACTCACTAACTTCGACCAAAATAGACCACTTCAAATAGATCAGATAGAATAACTACTCTCTCAGCTCCTGTTACAGTAAGTTGAATTATCTGATCAGAATTCTGAATGAACCATCTCTGATTTCACTCAGTCTGACTGCCATGTAAGACAATCGTACTCCAGAAAGTGAGGTCAGACGACTCCACTGGATATGTTGCTGGATTTTCTCCACACATCCTAATATGAGGGTGGTTTCTTCTGCTGTTGACTAAACAGTCAATTGTGGAAGAATTTTAAAGGAACCACATGGCCTGAGTTTTGAAGTGGGGCTTTGCCGTGGTTGATACTGTACATTGCTTTGTGAGGTCACAATGGTGGGGAAAGTTTTTGTTTGCCAGATGGGGTGGTTATATAATGACTTCCAATTACAGTTAGCAGAGCTAAAATCCCAGATCTCCTCCATATTCAAACTATGAACCTCTACCACTTGGGCTAAAAGAGTAACTTCATTAGTTGGTAGCAGCAGCAGGTAGCTGTGTGGAACTGCTGCTAGGAATCGGGGACAGAACATATTCCTCAGGCAGAGGAAGCTTATTCTGTGCCTCTGAGTTACTCATTTGTAGCCAACACCCACCATTTGGCTATGTTTGTTCATGTGGAATGTTCTCACTGAGCTGATAAACAGAGCTGCTACTTGCTCCATGTTCACATGCCTCCTGAGACCCACTTCTACCAAGGTGCTGACAAGAAACAGCTGATAGATAATTGCAAGATTGAGGGTAACTAGGATAGTCTGTATATCTAACATCTCTTTCACAGCACTGTATTATGAAACATTGTATTATTGAGAGGCAACCATCTTGACAACTTTATTTGTATGGTATGGTCATTTGCCCTACACTTCATCTTAGTTTTGTTTATTTTAGACTTAAAACTCTTGGGACATGGATTACGTGTGTGTGTGTGTGTGTGTAAAGCAGCTAGCACAGAGTGGGCACTATCAGAAACAAATGATAAATGATATTTGTATGGAGATGAAAATGTATATACTGAATTATGCATTAGACATTAAATTTTTCAAAGGCTTTGACTTTCTTAAATGCATACCTGATCACCAGTATGCTAGCAACGAATGAAAAACTAATGCTTAAAATATAATGATGCTCACATGCCAAGATGTTGGACTGAGTCCAGTTCACCTAAAAAAAGTCCTACGATGATAGTTAAAAACAAACAACAAACCCTCCTTTGTCCAAGAACTATGTACTTTGCCACAATCCATGTAATTTCAAATGTATGCCAATGTACAAGGACAATGTCTATGGCGCTCAGGTTACTTTCTCCAGTAACCAAACACAAATCTTCCCCCCTGCCCACACATGAATTCGCTAACCAGGAGCACTGCAATGGGGAGGTCTGGTCTTTCAGGTATGTCATTTTGAGACCACCCTACCAGACAAGGCAACAAGAACACAAAGCCAGGGTCAAACAAGGCAGCCCCTTGTAATTGGATACTAATAATGGATTTAAGGTGTAAAATTCACTTAAACCCATACACCAACAGACTAAACAATCAAAATGAGGCTAGCAAGATTTGTGTTGGAAAAAATGTTTTAATACTAGAAAGCATACATAAAACATGCATAATAACCTTGACTGACAGACTGCAGTCACATTTGCTTCCTAAATAATTGCAGTATATCTGGGTGGGATACTAATCACAGACCCTTAGAACTATAATGTCACTAGTATACTATAACATAGTTCTAAATGCAATTAATTTATTACTCCAGTCACATTATTATCATGTGCTGTACCAACAACAACATTCAGAATTTCAACTCTGGTTAGAAGACAAATTGTTCACAGGAGCAGTAAAAAGATGATGAAAATGTGGACTATCTTGATGTGAACAGGAAAACATGTTGAAGTAGATCTAAGCAGCAGGCAGATATGAATGATTCTAATAGCTCACTGAAGGATGGTTGGGTGAAAGTAATTAGTACAACTGGTTTCAGTGCCCTGTTTTCTTGTGTTAGCATTGTGTTCAATCTTGTAGCCTGTGTGCATGTTTTTTCAGGATGGAGGTGTAAGACACTTAAGATGACACAGGCTTGGTCTGATGGAGTTGCTGGTGCCATGGGAAGAAAAGGCCACTTCTCTAACTAAGGTGAGTTCCCTTTAACTGCTTTTCTCCCATTACCCCCATTGTATTAAATGTATTAAAATGTAATGATGCTCACGTGCCAAGATGTTGGACATTGGTGTATGGAAGGGAGGGGTTTTGTGCACAGTTTTCAGATCCCCTATCATTCCCTTGGAAGTAAAGAACTTGAAATTGGGGTAAAGGGATTTGCTTCTTCATATGTTGACTGGTGTATAGGGTAGTATAGAAAGAACTTGGGCCTATTTTTGTCCATTTGAATCTGATAATTCCTCATTTTTGATGTACAACTTTTGGTGCTAATTACCCCTCGGAAAACCTTTTTGGGTGATTTTAATTTCATCACTGTTTTCATCACAAGTCAGAATAATTTTACTGAGTCTATGGATTTTGTTTTATAAATCATTTGGGTAGGATTTGGGGGCCTGTTAGAAATAGTTGCTGGTTTTTAGGACTTGATACACAATTTGGAGTATTCATTTGGTGGTGGGAAAACAGAAGATCCTTGGTATGGCCTTTGCTTTTCTGGTCACAGATAAATTCTGGGGTGCACTGTTCATTGTACAAACTTACCTGGAGAAGAGGTGGATGACAGCAAGTTAACCCATGCATATAACTGCCTGGAGGCAGGGACGTCTCTAGAAACCATCGGGCAGATCCTCAGGCATAAATTGTCATAGCTCCATTGAAATCAATGAGAATCTGCCCTCATGTGTTCTTCCTGTGTGTGGGACCTCCCACGCAGGAGAAAAAAAGGAATGCTTTGGGGAAAAATGTGTATGTTCCTCATATAGTCATTGTCACTGCACAGACCCTTTGAACCAGTTCCGTATGTGAACTACTACATCATTTTGCACAGCACACCCGCTGGCCTTGGGCACCAGTCACTAAGACAGGAAGAATTTGTTGTCCTGACACCGGTGAGTACTATATATACTCAGCTGTAGGCACTTGTGATTCAGAATCCCAGCTGAATCTTCTGTGTGGATCGGTTCAAAAGGTTCTACTGTAAATATGGGAGTCTAGGCTGCCACAAATGTACCCAAATACGCCCAAAATATGAGCATCTAGGCTGAAGTAGGGTAAGATCCAGAGATTGAGGAAGATGATATATAGGCTTCCCCTGACAGTTTAAAAAATCATGTCATAGCATTTAAATTATACTTGATAGTGGTTACTTTTGGTGAGAGTGTGTGTACCAGCTGATGGCTCCTACATCTGCTGCTAGGAAGACTCCTGAGTTGAGAATTTCCTTCAGTTTTTGTTCAAGCATTGCATGACCAGAGCTACGTGGAAAAGTGAAGCATAAATAATTTATTCTGTTTCACAGAGTATTCATTTTATATTTTGCCTAGGTAGTTTTTATTAACCTGCTTATGAACAGATTGATCTAATCTGTGATATGAATAAAGCAATGCTTACCTTTTGGGGTCAACAATCTTGTAGAGTTTCCCATTGTGAGACTGTGTCATGCTTTTGCTGCTTGATAAAATGTACACCTCACCTGTTAAAGAAATAGATCTAGTAAATTAGTGTTCTTTAATAATATGCTGTACCTCTGACTTACCATCTAGCTCTATTTGCAAGATGGTGAAAACCTCATGAAATAAATATCTTGCATCATTGGAAAATACAATGTAATTTTCCTGTTTGAAAACATGTATGAAACAATTCTTACCAGTTAAAACTAGAAACATGAAACAAACTTTGTCATGCAAATTTAAAACCAAATTCTTCACTTTTAACATTTTATAGAGCTAGTTGAAGATTTCTGAATTTCAAAATTTAGACAAAACTTCAAAATTTGGGTGGGGGGGGGAAGAAGGGGGTAATTTCATCTGCCCATTCAATAGTTTTACTATTGAAATATGGAGTTATATAAATATAAATTATTTTTTGAGATGTGAATGTGTGCAATGTATGACAGGCCCTTCGTTATAAAGATGACTAATTGCCTGTGGGCTGTTCTGACAAATATCCATTCCAATTTAAAAACTATATATACTAGAAACACCAAGTTTTTTTCTTTCTAAAGGTGGTGGTGTGTGCATTTGTTCATAAAAGCGAAGGAATAGCATCAGCTAGAGCTAGATGCTGTGCAAACATCCTATGTGAAATTATAGTAAGCACCTCAGTACTGAATTGCAGTCCCATTGCCACCCAAATCCTTGGCATCTATTAAGACATTCCTGCCAGTTGTGTCAATGCGGTTAATGATCTTTTGATGTCAAGAGTGTGAAATCATCAAACTCATTTTTCCTTTACACCAAATTCAGGATTTGAACTCAAGTTTCTAAGGTGAAAGTGTCCTATCCTACTATGGCACTGAACTTCCATAGTTAATTGTTTAAATGAGTGTTGAGAGGCAAATATAAGTCAGTTATTAATTTAAGAAAATCTCTCATTGGTCTTTACGCAAAATCCAGTTAGCATGAATGAGAATTTTAAGTTCTGAAACAGGAGGAGTAAATGGCATTTAGATATTTTCAATCAATTCTTGGCCTCACTTTGATGTGTGTCTTATGCTCATGGAACTTAAACTACATTTGTGCCTTTCACTTAAGTTCATACCCCCTGCGTTTGTGCACAGATTGAAAATAGGGACCTTCACCCGTTCTGCTACCTCTCCCTGTTGCTTCTTACATAGATGCTAAAGAGTAGGAGGGACGATACTATGGCAATCTTGGTCAAAGAGTTAAAAAGAAAAGAAAAGCTATGCTGTAGAGTCTAATACAATTAAAGATCTACTATAATACTGTATGGTGCAGCATGTAATTTTGGTAAGATTTATTTTGTAACTTAATAAGAGTTTTTCTACTATACCTAATTCATCTTCACCAAATCCCAAAATGTGACCTGAAAAGAAGCCTCTACATGAACCACTGTTGCCAAGACATAGAGGTTTCTCTTGCCACTGTTTGGTTACAGGACTCTGTTGCAGCGTTAAAAAATTTCTGTAATCAAACACATACAATGCAAACTGTTATATAGCATTTGAAAAGAGAACTTAAAATGTCCAGATAATAAAAGGGAGTTGCAATAAGTAGTTCCATGGACACTTCTATAAAATTAATCACAATATAGTTTCCCAGCGGGCATTGTACAAACACAATTAATCCTTCTGCCATCCTTACTCACGTTGCTTAGTATCTATGTGTGGCAGAATTGAGCCCAAAGTATTGTAAATATATATATCCTGAAAATACTTTGTAAAATATTTCTCTTGCACGTAGGTACTAAGCATTTCTCTTGCTTGGTGTGACAGGACTGCACCCATTCATCCAGAAAGCATTACTTTTTCTCCATCATTGATGTTTCCATGAGACCAAGATTCAAAGCTGCTCTGTTAATCAGTTAGACCCCGATCTTGTAAATACTTACACACATGCTTAAATACTTGATCCATTGAAGTCAATGAGACTACTCGTGTACTTAATGTTAAGCGTGGGCATAAGTGTTTGAAGGATCAGAGTGGATTAGGGGGTCTCTGAGGAACCTTTGGGATCAATATCTCCATTTTAACCTCCTCCAGAGATCAAGTATGTCACCTCTGCTGCTATTCATTAGAATGCCATGACTCAGAAAGTAGTGGTCCCTATCTTGTTTCCAAACCTGGAGATTTCCCTATGGCATTGCCACACTGCAAGGCTGGCAGAACTACTTTAATATGCAAACATGCAAAATATTATTGTTGCTTTATATGTATCATAACTGAATATATTTTAAGACACCTACCCGTTGCGGTCTCCAAACACATAACTTCCATAAAGTCTCTGAGATTGGCAACCTCGGTATACAAATCCACCAACCAATGGTCCACTACTGAATGGTTTGAATTCTAGAAGTGAAGGCTCGCTTTCTAAAAAGTAACTACCATAGCATTAGATCAAATGCAATTTCATATATTAAAAACAATTATGCAAATACAGTATGAAGAAAAGTTATTGCCATTTAAATTGCACCAATGTTGAGATGTACAGGATGTATAAGACAGGAAATTGAGCATAAGGGAAACCAGAAAACATAAGGGAAACCATCATAAACATAGAGGGACATAGCCTAACCTAAGACTGAGAGAAGAATAGAGCCAAAGGGGTCATATCCTAACTATCCTATTGAAGTTGATGGGAGTCTTGCTATTGACTTTTATATGACTTGAGTTTCACCCACAGAATGGATCTGTTATCTTCAGCATTATAAATAATAAAGGGGTGATTTAGGGATTTAGGAGTTCAAGTCCCATTGACTTTCAGCAGGACTTGTGCTTTTGAAAATCTTGCCCAAAGCTTCTTTCTTTTAAGGTCAGTTCCTTAATGCAATAAGCCTGTACTGTTCAGTATCATGCATCAATATTGCTGACTGTAGTTTCTTATTTAGGCTGAGGCCATTATACTGCTGCTAGGATTGACAACAGTTAACATGCATTTTTTTCTTGCAGAACTGCACTGTTAAATCATATCAGATAATCTCCTCAACAATGTTAATGTGTAAATGATCCTATATATGCAATTAAACTATATTTAAAGACTACATACGTTAAAACCAGGCTCAAATTTTGTTACAATTATGTAATTTTAAATAACAGCCAATAGATATTTTTATTTTACATGAATATTGTTGCAGTTGGACTGCCACTTGTAAATCTTTGACTGAATTTCCCAGATTAGATTATGATTTTAAGGGATGAAATTCTACAAGAGAGAAAGGGAAATTATGATTTTATTTTTTTTGTTTAAGCAACTGACCACTGCACAAGCTCTGGCAAGTTCTTCTGGACGGACACAATTCCATGCCACAATACTGCTTAGTTTGATCTACGGTAGAGATGCAGTCAAAATTCTGTTGGAACAGTGGTTTACCAAATCCGTTTCAAACCACACTTTTCTTTGGCTTGGCATTCATAAAATGACAACACCAAATATGTGAAATAACTAAAATTGAAGTGACTGTATTACATATGAGGACTACTGCATGAGCCAGCTCAGTTGTTCTACTTTCAAAGTACG